CTCGAACCCACGGACCGTGAGATCGTGACCTGGCTGAAGTCTGACGCTTAACCGACTGAGCCACCCAGGCGCCCCTAGGCTCCTATTTTCTATCAGTCTGTCCCCAAAACAAAGGTAACATCATCTTGCTCACTTGAAATATTTATTGAGAGCTTACTTTTTGCAAGGGACTATTCTAGAAGCTGGGCAATAGGACAAAAATCCCTGGCCTTACTTTAGAGTTAGAGAGAGAGACAAAAAACAAGTATATGGATAAACAGATCATTTGATTTGGGGGTGTATATAACTGCTATGGAGATAAAAAAGAACTAGGGTTAGGGTTAAGGAGCGTTAGGTGCTGGGCCGGGTCTGAATTCGTGGTTTGAATATAGTAAGGGAGTAAGGCATTAGAGGCGGAAAAGAACATTCCATGCTGAGAGAACAGTGAACACGAAGGCCTCAAGACATCATGGATGGTCTACCTAAGGCATTTCTTGGTCTCTGTTTCAAAATATTAACTCTCTGTTCCCTAGGGTGTTAGAAAGACATCCTTACATTCTTTCACTTAATGATCATATAGAGAAATAATCTGGGCTTCTGCATATTTGGAAAATAATGATGGATGTCACCACTAAGCATTTTCCACTATAAATGACCACTGTAAATTAACTTTTTTTGAGAGAGAGGGAGAGAGTGCGTGCAAATGGGGAAAGGGGCAGAGGGAGGCAGGGGAGAGACAGAATCTTAAGCAGCCTCTATGCTCAGTGCAGAGCCCAACACGGGGTTCGATCTTGAGCTGAATTAGGAGTCAGACACTCCACCAGGCACCCTGTAAACTAACATTTAGAAAATGTTTAGAGCTGTCATTATTTCTGTAGCATCCACTCATGACGTTCCTAATTGTTTATAAGAAAAGTAGAAAAGCTTACGCATAGAGATGGTTTACATGGGGATTAACACCGAGAGAGTTCATCCAGTTACGGAAGGTTCTTTCTTCACGAGTTTCTCCTATTAAGAATATTCACAAAGTTTATATATTAATGCAACACCTTGTATATGTGCATATAATATGAAAGCATATGTAAGATTATTTCATTTCCTCTGTACAGATCTAGAGGTTTTCTCCAATATGAATCTCCAAACATTCTCTCTACATACATGCTTTTTATTGTTTTTATCTTTTTAAAGTTCATTTCTTTATATTGAGAGAGAGAGAGAATCCTAAGCAGCCTCCATGCTGTCAGTGCAAAGCTTCAATGTGGGGCTCAGTCTCACAAACCATGAAATCATGACCTGAGCCAAGATCGAGAGTCAGGCACTTAACCAACTGAGCTACCCAGGTGCCCCCAGATACATGCCTGTTTTTAAAAATCTATTCATTTTATTTTAAAATTAAAGAATGCAAATTTATAATCAGTTAAGCAATTTAGAGGTTTATGAATTTTTAATAATCTTCTGTCCCTTGTAATCCTTCCCCAATATCTCCCAGAAGTAACTGATGTGATCAGTTTTACATTAAAAAAACTTTTGTGGTTATATGAACCCTCTATACTCATGAATTTACTTCTTCTTTCTACACATTTATACATCCTAAGCTCATTTTACATGCCTATAATACTACAGCAATAAGTTACTTGAAACTGGAAAAGCATAAAGAGAGGGAGACACGGAATCCGAAGCAGGGTCCGGGCTCTGAGCTGTCAGCACAGAGCCCAACGCAGGGCTTGAACTCACAGACCGCGAGATCATGACCTGACCCCAAGTCAGATGCTCAACCGACTGAGCCACCCAGGCACCCCATTATTTTTTCTTTTTAGAGACACAGCATGTGAGCAGGGAAGAAGGGCAGAGGAGAGAGAAAGAGAATCTCAAGTAGGTTCCACGCTCAGCACGGAGCGTGACGCAGGGCTTGACCCCACGACCCTGGGATCACGACCTGAGCTGAAATCAAGAGTCGGGCTCAACTGCCTGAACCACCCAGGCGCCCCTTAAAGATTTTATTTTTAAGTAATCTCTATACCCTACGTGGGGATCAAATTCAAAATCCCGAGATTGAGACTAGCACGCTCAACTGACTGAGCCTGCCGGGCGCCCCTAGTATTTTTTGAGTAGGGGAGTAGAAAAGGAATCTGGGCTAGTTCTGGTCAGTCCAACCATGGATGAATGAAATAATACTGTAAATTTATAGGTCAAATTTAATGCATATGTATATTTGCGGAAGGAGAGGTTTAAAAAGTGATCTAATTCTAAAATATTAAAATAAAGCACGGGTTTACTAAGTGGCCTTAAGCTAAGTGATCCGTGACTCCTTTACAAGTTTCCTTGTATCATCCTTTTCTATCAGCTGCCACTTTTTACTCAGCCTTTGGGTCTACTTCCAGCAGATATTTGCTAAGGGAAAGTGGATAAGGAAACGTATTAAGTCAAGATCCTGAAACCATCGTGGCCTACGTAACATATTTCCACTCTGTAGTCCTGCACATTAGAATGTGAGAAACCTTCAGTTACCTTCCAATAGAGTCCAGTCAATATCCTGGTTCTCTGGCTTCGTTAGTGCTGGGTATTTATTGAACAGGTTAGCCACAAAGGCCAAGTTCAGTTTGGGGTTTCCACTGACAACATCAGCAGGGGTAACAAACTGTCTGCAACCTAACTTGTCTGCTTGTTGAAGCATACTCTCTGCTCTCTTCAAATCATCTGTTTCCTGTTGAAGTAAGAAGACATATTGTAAAAGGCTAAAAATACTAAAAATATAGAAACGTTTCCCTACAATGATAGGCTGGATATACAATTCTACTTTCTCTTAGCCAACACATGGTATTTATTATAAAATTGTTTGTGGAATGCAACAGAAAGTTGGCTGTATTTGATTGCAGTACCTTAAAAATACCCTAGGTGGCACCAGATGATTTATCTAAGGATAATACATTTAATTCCATTGGGATTACATCTGCTAAAACTCATCAAGAAAAAAGCAAAAACTGCTCAGATTTTTCAGTTGGGCCCTAAGGGAGGTGTAAGACTGAAAAAGAGAAAATAATTATGAGAAAATAATTTAAAAATAATAATCAAGAATCGCAGTTTCCAATGATTTGATTTCAGGTTTAAATTGTGCATTTCAAATTGTAGTTTTTCTCTTCAGGGATTTTTATTTTAGTCTATTTTATTTGTTTACGGTTTGCTTTACTTAACTTTTCCACCCAGGAAGAAGCAATGTTGTGCATTTCTGCAAATACTTACTTTCGACTAATTCCTATGACTCCCAACTTGTTACCTTCTTCCCCATTCTATTTTTTTTAATGTTCATTTGTTTATTTTGAGAGAGAGAGAGAGACAGAGCGAGAGCACTAGGGTGAGTCGGGGAGGGGTAGAGAGAGAGGGAGACAGAGAATCTCAAGCAGGCTCTGCACTGTCAGCACAGAGCCCAACGCGGGGCTCGAACCCAGAAAATCTGAGATGACCTGAGCCGAAACCAAGAGTCAGAAGCTCAACCAACTGAGCCACCCAGGTGCCCACCCCATGCTATTTTTTTCCCCTTTTCTTTTCCCCCTGGAAAGATGCATGCTGAGCTCTTGATCAACATAGGGTTTGGTGAAGAATGTGAGTTACCCAATCATTTCAGACCAGTGTCAAAATTAGTTTCTCAGACACCCGGTATTCCCGCCTCCCAATGCTACAAGTAAAAAAACCGGGAGCTACAGGAGGCACAGTTGCTTTGGGATTTTCTGTGTCTAGTGACCTATGTTTGGAAAAGAACACAGCAACACTCTGAGAAGTTCCTATATCTGTACACTACAGTTTGTCCCAGGGCAAATGTAGCACTTCTGGACAACAGTGTCCCCTATAAAAAGGTTTTACAATTGGTGGGAAAAGAAGAGATAAAGCTAAAGGAAGCTTGAGGAATGTTACTTTTAAACTAACGCTGCCCAGAATGTATAATTTGAGGGTTTTAACTTTGTCCTTAAATTTGTTTTTTTAACGTTGATTTATTTTTGAGACAGAGAGAGACAGAGCATGAACGGGGGAGGGTCAGAGAGAGGGAGACACAGAATCCGAAACAGGCTCCAGGCTCTGAGCCATCAGCCCAGAGCCCGACGCGGGGCTCGAACTCACGGACCGCGAGATCGTGACCTGAGCCGAAGTCGGCCACTCAACCGACTGAGCCACCCAGGCGCCCCTTAACTTTGTCTTTAATGGGTGATGCTCCTTAGTTTTTTAACCTCCAGTGCGATACCTTGACTGTGTAGGACTCCAGAACAATGTGTGTTTATTGTGTTACCCTTGTAACCTTCTGCAGCCAGTAACCACCAGAAGATTGGCAATTGAGTGAGATTCAACGTTTCTTCAGGATTCTCTGTGAGCATATAGTGAGTTCCTCTCAGAGCCTTTTCTATTTCTTGTAACTTGTCAGTTATTACTTTAATATTGTTTGATTTATGCTATTTACCAGCTTTATCTTAAAATCCCTTCTTCATTGATCACCCTGGCATTCTTAATGAAGCATTGACATAATATTGGAACAGAAGGAAGCTTTAAAATAGATGACAACCAAAAACTTAAATAGTCAAATATACAATAGTGAAATAAAAATAATCAAATCCAAAAAAAAATATATGCAGAAATAACTTCAGCTCCTATCTCACACTATATTCAAAATTAACTCCAAACATATATTTCTAAACGCAAAAAGCCAAACTCTAAAAACCTCTAGGAGAAAACATAGGAGGAAATACTTGTGACCTTGTATTATGCTAAAATTTCTCAGATACAACATCAAAAGCATGATCCGTAAAAGAAAAATGACTAAATTTGACTTGGCTAAAATTAAGAACGTCTGTTCTTTGAAAAACGTTGGGAGAAAACATTTGCAAATCACATATCCGATAAAGGATTTGTATCCAAAATACATAAAAAACACTCAAAACTTGCTAATAAGAAAACAAACAATGCAATTAAAAATGGACAAAATGTTTGAACAATGACGATACACGGATGGTAAATAGTCACATAAAAATGTTCAACATCACAGGTCACTAGGGAAATACAAATTAAAACCACAATGACAGATCTTTCAACACCTGTTAGAATGAGCCAAGTTAAAAGGGCTAACCACACTGAAGTGTTAGCGAGGACGTGGATGAACTGGAACTTTCATACACTGCTGGTGGCAATGTAAAATGGTACAACCACTTGAGCAAATGAATTAGCAGCTTCTTCAAAAAGTTAACCATCACCAATAACCATACCCCATCACTCAGCCATTTCACTCCTAGGTACTTCCCAAAGAGAAATGAATGCACATATTTACACAGAGACTTCTATATGAATGTTCATAGCAGCTGTAGTTGTAATAGCCCCAAACTGGAAACAATCCAAATGTTCAACAAGTGCGTGGGTTAACAAATTGTGGTATATCCATTCATCGGAATACAATTCAGCCTTTAAGAAGGAATGAATTTATGATACATGTGACGACATGAATGAGTCTCAAAATAATCATGCCAAGCGAAAGGAGCTACACAAAAAAAGAATACATACTACAGGGGTCCATTTATATAAAGTTTGCAAATATTCAAACTAATGTAAAGTGAAAGAAAGCAAATGAGTGGTTGCCTGGGAAGGGGGAGTAGGGGAAAGTGGCAGGAAGGAACTATAAAGGATCACGAGCAACCCTGATGTGATAATGGATTTGAAAAAATCAGTCATCAATGAGGCCCTAAAGAAGGTATAAGGCTGAAAAAGATGAAGAAGGACGCTGAACAACAAGGGAAAAGCGTGAGCACGGGCTCAGAGATAAAAATAGTGGGAAACATCGCTGGATAGGAGACCTGGAACAAGACTGTGTAGGGCCTTAAATGCTAAGCAGAACATTTCGGACTAAAGACTACAGTCAATGGGAATCCTTGACGGACTCTGAGGAGGGAAGAGACAAAGGAGTGTTTTCAGATCAATCAGGGAAGACTGAATGGAGAAGAGCTGTATCAGAATCAGAATCAGTTAGTATCCTGGTGCCATTTACACAGGCATAAGGTCATCTGGTTAGCCTTCCCAGACAGCTCCCTAGTGCACAGGACAGCCCCTCATCCATACCAAGTGACTGAACCAAAGAGTCTCACATCTAACATACAGACAGAAATACACGTACACAAGTCAGTTACAAGTTCAGTTCTGATAAGGGCAGTGTAAATGGTTTAGACAGTATAATCCACTCAATCCCACTGCATAATAGGGTAGAAATGTGGATTTTCTTTCCTTCTTCTTCTCCTTTTTTTTTTTTTTTTTTTTTTTTAAGTAGGCTTCATGCCCAGCATGGAGCCCAACGCGGGGCTTGAACTCACAAACCGTGAGATCATGACCTGAGCTGAAACCAAGAGTCGGGCGCTTAACTGACCGAGCCACCCAGGTGCCCCCAAATTAGTACAGTGCATCCTATATCTAATAGGTACAAAGAATAAACTAGGCGAACGTAGAAACTTGAGACTAGTCTAGTCCTTACTTTATGGATGGGCTAAGTGAGATCCAGTATGGGGAAGAAATGTGTCCAAGGTCACTGGACAAATCAATGACGTAAGCAGGGAACATGTTCCGTGAATGATTCCCCATATTGGATTTCAGGGATCAGCAGTTTGTAAACATAGTCACATTACCCTCAACACAGGAATATTACAGATGCATATATGAACATAGAGTCACTAAATGTCTTACTGTGATTATGTGATTACAATCCAAACACCTGGAAAAGGTTAGTTTCTAACACTTCTTTCCTCACCCTCGCTTTGAATATTTTATGCAATCCATATAAACCAACAGCGCCATCACTGTGGAGCTCACTAATAAACTGTCAAAATAAACCAAAGCTAATCTTTCTGCCTTTGAATTACACCCACAGCAATACATTTTAAAGTAACGCTTAAAACTGTCAACACCACCACATGCAATTATAACAATTCTTGCTATTTAGAAGAAATGGACAATGATTTTGTAAGACTGTAGAATTTCAATACTTACATTGAAACCCGACATGTTAATATCTATCCGTGGTTCCCCTTCTTTTTGTCCTTTTGGTGCAATTTGATTGAGAAGATGGAAATAGGCTTTGGAATCCTACAAGTGAATTGAAAGTTGCAGTGAGATCACATTTACAAAGAATGAATGTATCCTCTTGTCCCGTGTTTGTAAGGATATTTGCATTGGATTTTGGGAGAACGGATGGCAGAAATCTCTGCCTTCAAAGCTAACGGATCTTTCCCCCAGAAAAGTCCATCTATCTGGCCTAACGTCTGCCTTGAATATGGATAACTAGATTTTATCATGACTTCACAATTGATTAACATTACCCATAATACTAGTAAACACATAACTAGTTTTGTACCTTCACTGAATTACTGAAGTCAATAAGCTTGGTAGACAAAACAAGCAAGAAAAGAAAGTAGGAGCAGAAATCCCGGAAGCATAGGGAAAGAGAAAATAAACAGGTTACATCATTACAAAACACGATATATACCATAACCTACGGAGAAGAGATTAGCTGTGTTAAAGATGTGTTTAGTTGTAGACTTAAATGACCATTCTTAAATGAGTAACACTTGAGTGGGTGAAATAACACATTTAACACTTTGTGACCTGAATATACTCAGCCAAACACGATTTTTCTTTTTAAGCTCCTGAACTCATTTATTGTTTGAATGTTTTTGCTTGGAATTCCAATAATTAAAGCGGTGTTGCTCATATGGGGGTGGGCTGCGTGACTTCGGGCTGTGTGGACACGCCACAGAATACAACTTGAAAACCACAGTACCACCGCAAACAATCAATAAGGGTCCCCAACACACCTGTCAAGTAAACTGCCTTCAGGGGACAGAAACTGCTCACCGCTGGGAAGGTGATCCTCCAATATAGCAGGACTTGGAATTCCTATGTAATATTTTTGTAATCAGAAGTGTTAAACATCATCATAGTAAACTAGAGGATTACTGACCCTTGACGTCCAGACAGGCTCTAAAGGAATGTTCCTCCTAGTAAGTTCTGTAGATTATGCGCACCTTAATCCCCTGGGGGAAGCTGTCCAATATGCAGATTACTGGATCAAAACCCAGACCTACCAAATATGAACCCCTGGGAGTTACCCAGAGCTGCGTCTTAGATGAGCTAAGGCAAGTGAGTTTGACGCATAATGCCATAAATGATGCCAAGAACGGGGAGAATCAGGTGAGTGAAATCCATTTCAGACCAATTCATGAAATGCAAACCCAGATGCTACCATTGTGGGCATAGGATTTGCCTCCCTGTAATAGGATATTTACTGTTGCAAAAATGTGTTTGCTCACAATTTCTTTCTAAAGGTGCATAAACAATTCATGATCAAATCCTATGCACTTGAGAACAGGTAAAGAGCAGGCCCAGCATTGTAGGTACTATCCTGAAAAGGGCTTTGCACGTGAAAATTGAACTTGAATACGGATAAGTCGGAAGCCCTTTTTCACATTACCCAACAATGCTTTGCTTTTTAAAAAGATTCAAGGCAGGCTTTATTTATTTACTTTTAAACAGGATTTCCTTTTGTACATTTAAAATACATCCCAGAACAGAAAACCCATTTCCAAGTGGTTTTTGAGAACACATCTAATGCATACGGCAAAAATATACCTGGCCAAACATGTTGTGTAAGTTAAAAGAAGGGATGGGGAACCAGCTGGTCTTACAATTTTGGAGCTATCCTGAAGTTTCACTGATGAAATCAGTATTGCCAGTATCCCATCACTTCCTCTCACCGCTGAACGCATTGATGTGACCACAGACTATTGTTTTCATAGCCCTGTGGGTCAGTGACATCTGGTGAAGATCCTTGAGTTTGTTCCCTGTGTCCCAACGTCTGGATTTTGCAGAGAGTCGAGGCAATTAATGAGGACTCTGTGATATTCACTATGGTAATTGTGGCCCCCTCTCTCTGGGAAGCCAAAGCAACATGTGGTCAAGGACTTGATTTTCTTTTTCTTTTTTTTTTTTTTTTTAAAGTTTATTTATTTATTTTTGGGAGAGAGAGAGAGAGACAGAGAGAGAGAGAGAGAGAGAGACAGAGAGCACACAAGCCGGGGAGGGACAGAAAGAGAGGGGGACAGAGGACCAGAAGCAGGCTCCGTCCTGTCAGCACAGAGCCCGACGCGGGGCTCGATCTCACAAACCGCGAGATCACGACCTGAGCCGCAGTCGGACCCTTAACCGACTGAGCCACCCAGGCGCCACTTTGCAGGTCTGTTATGTGCCAGGTATCGTGTTAGAGGTGGGATTTAGCACGAGGGCCCTACAGCAGGGGCTGAGGTAGGAGACACAGACATATGTTAAGAGCTCATCACTACCCTCCGGAACTCAGTGTCTAATGGTGGGAGCACATGACAGAAGAGAAGCCAAACATGAAAGACGAAGGGGAATCTCGGGGCCCTTTCTCTCTCTTCTAGAGCTATACTAACAGATACACTGAGGTCTGGGAAAGGCAGTTAGGAAGAGGCTAGTCATGGCCCCCCCTTCTATACTCCATGTTTAACAGTAGGAAGAACGTAGAAGTTAGGACTAGAATACTTGTACCCTTTTTCACAGAAGCAGAGCTAGACTTGGGGCTAGTGTTCGTTCCTAGGTTTTGTCTCTTACTGAAAACTACCATCGGGGCCAAGGGCGAACAAGGCCTGGTGATATACTGGCAGAATTCCCTCGCTGCTCATCACGTCGCCCAAGAGTGTGATCGTTCTCTGCACCGTTACCTTGATGTCAGCACTAAAGTTGTTGATTTTTTGCCAGCCCGAGTTTTCCAAATGAAAGTTGGCCCATCTAAGCAGAAGCTCTTCTGGAGACAGTTTCATGAGCTCCTCCAAAGTCTCCCCGTCTCGAAGTAAGGCGGCCAAGGCTATAAGGAAAAAAACCCCCACAACCAATATGTTATCTGACAATGGTCATTGTAAGTTCATTTGGTCTTCTGACGCTCTGTGAAGTAATGGACGTGCAGAAACTAGCATGACCTAGGTCCTCAGTTTTAGGTACAGAGAGTCTAATAAAAGATAAATACAGAAGTAGATAATTATGCAATGATATAAAGATGCTGTGTTATGAAGATACACAGCAAATACACAATACTATAATGTATTGTTTTTATTATTCTTCACATTCCAAATGGCAAATAAGTTACAGGTTTTTGTAAATGCTTCTTTATTTAATTTAGAGAGAGAGAGAGAGAGAATGTGTGTGCAAGCAGGCAAAGAGCAGAGGGAGAGGGAGAGAGAGAATCCCAAGCAGGCTGTGCACTCAGCCACCCAGGCACCCCAAGTTACAGTTTTTGAAACATTTTTACATTATGTCATATACTTACCTAAATTGTCCTTGTTTAATAATATTAAAATCAGAGATTGGGGGAAGGATGTTAAAAATATTGGAGCCTTTATACTTAACCTTTTGACTATAGGAGTACAGGAACACTACAGTATTCATATTTATTTTTTATTTTTTTAGTGTTTATTTTTGAGAGAGAGAGATAGAGTGCGAGTGGGGGAGGGGTGGAGAGAGGGGGAGACACAGAACCCAAAGCAGGCTCCAGGCTCTG